ATAAGCTTTTAACTTCTCTGTGTAATAGGTGCTGCATGTTTATTTGTCATGAATTAAGGTTCTCTGTTTGGTACTGATCGTTTTCAAAGTGTAAAGGTAGATGTTTAATAAAAGCTATATTTTTAATAAAATGATGTTTATCTTACGTTTTGAATGCAGCTGCTTTTACGTCGTCCTGTTTAAGCAGTGCCAGTGTTGACTGCAGTAAGATTGTGTCTACACTGGCTGGGAGGTGGCTGTTTATGCAAGGTGCCTCACAATCCAAGATGGAAGGGAGTCAGAAATACAGGATCTGTCCAGTTCAGCCTTGTCTCTGTGTGCTTCATATTGCGTTATTATTGTAATGCATTTGTTTACGTGCCATAGTGCGAGCGTCAGGCCCCTGAGTGGCTCTCGGCGGCCGCCCAGGAACCTGATGCCGTTAAGCGCTTTGCTGACTCTGCTCCGAGCTGGTCCCCATAGTACCATTAGATCAGCCCTGTCAGCTAAGCTAATGCAGCCCTGCATCTCACAGACTAACGTCTGATACGGGTCCATTATGTGTTACTCGATTTCCGGCGTACTGGTCACTCACAAGCCTGAGGTGCTGTATGACTGTACATAGATGCATTTTATAGATGCCCGAGTGCATGTATAGAAGGATACATACATTGGTATAATTCTGCTTGGTGTAAGCTGCAAATAGATGTATGGTTATGTTTGATGCATGAGGTGTCCTGCAAAAGATCTAATGTGAAAAGGCAGTATCACCATGTTTGACTGAATGTCATCTTATGTAGACCAACCCATGCCCTGGTGATAATATGGCATATTAACAAGTTTGACTCATTCTGCATTTATTTGCAAAAAGGTGGCCAGATATGTCATATCTCGTCCTTTATGAAATACATTAAAACCCGATTAATAAACGTCCCCTTGTAGCTCACTTCAAAGCTTAATTGGATGCCTGTGTCCTTCAGATTTTGAAAAATATCCAGCAGCCCTTTCTGACGGAAGAACGCTCCTTGCAGCCTTTGTGGCCAGACAGAGAGGGAGGGAGAGAGGGAGGGAGGGGAAGTGAGCCGCGTTATCCGCCCCTCGCCGCTAAGATGAGCGATCACATCATCTCCAGCATCAGCCTCCGGAGCAGCACTGCGGTGTCCGGAGCTCTGCTTGGCTCTGTGCGGAGCTGTTGACTTCCTAGAGTAACTGCACTCGTACCGTGCATGGGGCTTCCTGCTGGACCGTTAAATCACCATCCATTGGCTTGTCAAAGGCATCGGGTCTGAATGTTAAAGAGCCGCGGTGCTGCACCGAGGCTGACCGAGACGGGAACATGGCATCCCCCAGCAGCTCTTCGCCTGAGCGGGGGTCCCCACCAAACCAACAGCGCATTCGCCAGGTTAGTCTCAGTTCTGCTACAACATGGCCACATTTAGCTGCTTGGTCATCTTCCAGCTTTTCAATCTGTAATGATGAAGTAACAGTGTTTCGGCTCCCTGTCCTAGGGGGCGCTAACGGGGTAGGGTAGTTAAGGCGTTGCCCTGGATACGACATCAAAATGAGCCCCGAAACGCTGCGTTTTTAAAATTACGCAGTTGTTTCATTCTTAAAATAGTAACGCTGATTGTAATTCTACTGTATGGACCAATTTTCTACAAATTAACCCCGTTTTGAGTTGAGCTGAATTAGCGCTGCAAGGGCATGCGTGTGGGTCACCCTGGCAATATTTTTCCAGCATATTTAAGGTCTTTAAGCTAATAAAATGTGAACATTTATATACAAGGATGTGGTGAGGTTTAAACGCAGGATCAGAGCGACATGTGCATGTGCCCCCAAGACCCATGATAAGCTGCGCTTGTGAAGCAGGTGCGACTCTCTAGCCAGCGGCCATTTAACTGGGAAGTTAAACTGGTGCTTTCGAGCATCGGCTGTGTCATGGAAAGCCGCGGCAGAAAGATAGAGGAGCACGAGCTCATCGCTGATCCGTTCGCAACAATAAGGGAGTATGAAGAAAGTCTGTTGCCTCAGTGGTTCAGTATTTCTAGATGTGTTTCTGTTTCCAGGCTTGTCAACTTGAAATATATTGCCTTTTTATGTACGTATATAATTGCTGTTGTCTTAAAATGCTATATGGCTTTAAGTTTTGGTAGAAGTATTAGATTCAAATGATTGTGGAGTTTGTGTGGTGTGCTTCGTGATTCTCTGGCTTTTCCTTTTGGAAGTGAATTGATAATTGGTTACACTACGTAGCAGTGTGTGTGTGTGACTGTATGTCTGTGTCTCTGTGAGTATGTGTGTGTCTGTCTGTGTGAGTATGTGTGTATCTGTGTGAGTGTGTGTGTGTGTTTCTGTGTGTGAGTATGTCTATGTGCGTATCTGTGCGTGGGCTGTGTGAGTATGTGTGTATCTGTTTGTAAGAGTGTGTGTGTATGTTGGCTGGATAGTTCAATATACACTAATATATCCTTTGACTGCCTAACACTTTTGCATGGTACTGAATACACATCCAAGATCAGAGACACCGCATTGAATCCTGAATGTGAACACTTATTAGCTTTTCTGTATTTCCACATGTGGCTTGTAGACCTTGATTGCAGAGCAGAAAGGCGTGAGCAGCTCTAGCAGACGGAGGCTGATGGGACGGCCGGGTCCTAATGATGCTGTGACGTCTCAGTAATTAGCGTCACTGCAGACAGGCTGCTCTCACGCTTCTCCTAAATGCCTTCCCGCCGCTTCCACACCATATCTATGAAAATCTGTATCTGAGAGAATGCTTTCACACTGAGAAAACTGGGTCTTAATGAAACATTATAAATGAAATAATTTCCCCTTAGTTATTATAACTGTTTGAAAAGTGTGGGATACTGTACCTGCCTTCCAAGTCTCAGGAAAACAGGAAACGTTCACCGCCCTCCCTTCATTGATTCTGAGTGAACATATGTAGGTGACACAACTATGAGTTTAGTAGTTACCAGTAGTTGCCTGAATATAAACACATTATGGACATAATTATTGTGTTCAAGAAATATCAAAAAAAAAAAAAAAAGTGTTTTAGTAGAAATCAGTTGGTGACGCCTTCACACTTCCTGTCCAGAAGCTCCGCCCATGCCCCGCCCCTTCCTGTTTGTGTTGCCTGATTGCTGAGCCCCTTTCATCCATGTGATTTGCTCTCCCTGTTTCGGGAAGCCGCCCGTTCAGACCAGGTTGCCTGTCCTCTCTGCTCTTCCATACTGCAGAGTCATTGTGTGCTTGTATTGCACCGCCTGGATTGGCCGTTAGGAATCACGTGACCACGCGTCTGTGTCAGTAAGGAGGCTTTCTGGCCCCAGCCTTGATGTTGTGCTCGCTCATGATCTGCTCAGGATTTGTCAGCTGTTTGCTGTCTCTCACACACCATCTGGGGTCACCTCCTGTGGCTGGCCTGCAAGACCAATGCATGGCTCGAGACTGTTGGTCACTGAACTGAAAGATAGGAAGGGGCAGTTTATCTGCATGCTTGTATATAAACATTCATTTAAAAGTAACAGATTATGGAAGGTTAAGGCACTTACATGGGGAAGGTCTGGGTATTGGTACATGTAATAACATTTTTCCACAAATCTTAAAATCCTCAGAAGATGAAGAAGTTGGATTGTTCACTATTTAATAGAAAATAATAAATTATTTGCTTGTCCAGCTGTGGTTGTTAATTATCAGGCACCGGTTGTTTGAGCTAAGGTTCTTTTATAAATAAATGGATCACTTTTCTCTTTGTCTGACCTGTAAAAGCCTCTCTCCCTTCTTTTCTTCTCCTTCTGCCAAAAACATTTCCCAGATCAATGTTTATTGATCATTGTGTACATTTTTTGTTTTAAAAAAGCAGGTACCTGCGCCGCTTTGCACACATTGCAGTGTAATCTCTGTGTTTCTCCCTGTGCGTGTCCGTCAGCTTCTTTGTCTTCTATATTTTATAGCAGAGACTCCCCAGGGATTCTAGTGCGTCACGTGACTTTGAGGAAGCTACAGCTAATGGCATCTCTGCTTCATTACATTAGCGTCCATCAGCAGTCACAGGGCACTTTATAGATAGGAGCTACTGTATTTCTTTACTTATCCCAGGGCGTGTGTCCTAAGTACACAGGCATCCCAAGTGTCTCTTCTCCAGTGTACTGATTTTTGCTTTAATATGACCTGTGATAAAGTTACACACATATTTGCACATTATTGTTTGACAAAACTACCCTCTGCTTGGATTTTTTTTTTTTTTGCCTCATCATTCAGCTGTGATCTTATTTTCTGTAGCACACAAATGGCCTACAGGCTATAGATCCATTAGCTATACTTTCATAACAGTAGGGTGAGTAGTGCTAACCCCACTATGCTTCCGAGCTGCAGTGCTGAAATGACTTTACATACTGGTGTCATACATAATCCTATACAACCAAACATTCAGAGTTGCCTGATTAATGATTTTGCTGAGCGAACGGAGCTTTAGCCATGAATCTAATACCTACATAGTGTCATATCGACCTGGATGATATCCAGAACACAGAACGCAGACTATGGATGCCGATGGTTTAGTGTAATGTCCAGTCCAATATATTAGTGTTCTCTTGCTGAGAAAACTTGTTGCACAAAGTACAGTCATACAAATGTACCTGGTCTTTGCTCTCACATTGTGATTCTTTTCAGGTTGTATTTGTGTTTGGCCTGGTCTTTCCCTCATACTGTGCTCTTGTTGATGTAGTATTTGTGCCTGGTGTGGTCTTGCCTTCATACTGTGACCTTGTTTGTGTTTGACCTGGTCTTTCGCTCATACTGTGATCTTGTTGAGGCTGTGCCTGGTCTGGTCTTTCCCTGATACTGTGGTCTTGTTGTGGTTGGATTTGTGCCTGGTCTGGTCTTTCCTTCATATTGTGATCTTGTTCAGGTTGTATTTGTGCCTGACCTTGTCTTTTCTCATACTGTGGTCTTGTTATGGTTGTATTTGTGCCTGGTCTGGTCTTGCTCTGGTGTTGTTGAGGTTGTATTTGTGCCTATGCTGGTCTTTCCGTCATACTGTGATATTGTTAAGGTTGTATTTGTGCCTGGTCTGGTCTTTCCTTCATACTGTGTTATTGTTGAGGTTGTATTTGTGCCTGGTCTGGTCTTTCCTTCATACTGTGTTATTGTTGAGGTTGTATTTGTGCCTGGCCTGGTCTTGTTGTGGTCCTGTTGAGGTTATGTTTGTGACTATTTTAGACTCTCCACGATGGTGACCCCAGGGAGCTTGAAGCTGCTGAACTGATCCATAGAACCCCCTCTAGTGTAGATGGAGCTGTGCACCGTTCCCTCCTTCCGGACATCCATGATCGGCTGCTTCAGTTTGCCAACATTGAGGGTGGGGCTGTTGTCCTGGCATCACTCTGCCAGGAGTCTGAGTACCTCCCTGTAGGCTGACTCATCACTGTTGCTGATCAGCCCCATGACGTTGGTGTCACCAGCAAACTACAGGATGGAGTTGGAGCTGTGCTTGGTCACACAGTCATAGGTGAACAAGGAATACATCCATAGCCAAAAGTTTTGAGAATGACACAAATATTAATTTTCACAAAGTCTGCTGCCTCAGTTTTTATTATGGCAATTTGCATATACTCCAGAATGTTATGAAGTGTGATTATATGAGTTGGAATTAATTGCAAAGTCCCTCTTTGCCATGAAAATAAACTTAATCCCAAAAAACCCATTTCCACTGTATTTCATCCCTGCCACAAAAGTACCTGCTGACATCATTTCAGTGATTCTCTCGTTAACACAGGTGAGAGTGTTGAGGAGGACAAGGCTGGAGATCACTCTGTCATGCTGATTGAGTTAGAATAGCAGACTGGATGCTTTAAAAGGAGGGTGGTGCTTGAAATCATTGTTCTTCCTCTGTGAACCATGGTTACCTGCAAGGAAACGTCATCATTGCTTTGCACAAATAGGGCTTCACAGGCAAGGATGTTGCTGCTAGTAAGATTGCACCTAAATCAACCATTTATCGGATCATCAAGAACTTCAAGGAGAGAGGTTCAATTGTTATGAAAAAGTCCAAGAAAGTCCAGCAAGCACCAGGACCGTCTCCTAAATTTGATTCAGCTGCGGGATCGGGGCACCACCAGTGCAGAGCTTGCTCCGGAATGGCAGCAGGCAGGTGTGAGTGCATCTGCATGCACAGTGAGGCCAAGCCTTTTGGAGGATGGCCTGGTGTCAAGAAGGGCAGCAAAGAGGCCACTTCTCTCCAAGAAAAACATCAGGGACAGACTGATATTCTGCAAAAGGTACAGGGATTGGACTGCTGAGGACTGGGGTAAAGTCATTTTCTCTGATGAATCCCCTTTCTGATTGTTTGGGGCATCTGGAAAAAAGATTATCCGGAGAAGAAAAGGTGAGCGCTGCCATCAGTCCTGTGTCATGCCAACAGTAAAGCATCCTGAGACCATTGATGTGTTGGGTTGCTTCTCAACCAAGAATGGTACCAAAACATCCTCCGAAAGTAACTTCTTCCAATCATTCAAGAACAGTGTGATGATGAACGATGCCTTTCCCAGCATGATGGAGCACCATGCCATAAGGCAAAAGTGATAACTAAGTGGCTTGGGGAACAAAACACCAACATTTTGGGTCCATGGCCAGGAAACTCCCCAGACCTTAATCCCTTTGAGAACGTGTGGTCAGTCCTCAAGAGGTGGCTGGACAAACAAAAACCCATAAATTCTGACAAACTCCAAGCATTGATTATGCAAGAATGGGCTGCCATCAGTCAGGATTTGGCCCAGAAGTTGATTGACATCAGGCCAGGGCAAATTGCAGAGGGTTTGAAAAACCATGAACTTAATGTAATTGTCAATAAATGCCTTATGACATGCTTGTAATTATACTTCAGTATGCCATAGAAACATCTGACAAAAAGATCTACAAACACTGCAGCAGCAAACTTTGTGAAAACCAATACTTGTGTCATTCTCAAAACTTTTGGCCACAACTGTAGAGCCGGGGGCTCAGCACACTGCCCTGCGGGGTGCCAGTGTTGCTGGTGATGGAGGATGACCTATCGTCACCAGTGCACACATGCTGGGGTCTGTCGGTGATCCAGCTGCAGAGTGAGGAGCTATGGCTGAAATCTAGGAGCTCAGCAACACGCTGGCATGGAATGTCGCTGCTTTTATTTTACAGGTGAGACGGAGTGATGTGGAAAGCAGTGGAGATCTCTAGTATATGCTCTCATGCATCTTTAGCAGACCTGTTGCAGCAGTAGGCAAACTCTAGTGGGCCTAGTTAAACTGTCCAGTATGGTGTCCTTACTGTGCCTCTCAAAGCACTTATTTTTGTGATGGGGATGAGTACCATGGGGCAGTAATCATTAAGGCAGTCTGCTTTGGCTGTCTTTGGAGCAGGGGTGACAGGGATAGTTGACTCCCTCAGAGAGCCATTAAAAATGACAGTGAACACAGCTGTTAGCTGGTCGCAGCAGGTTTTTAAAACATGTGCAGAAAGTTTATCCAAGCTGCCGGGTTGAGGTGCTTTTGTCGGTTGAAAGTCCTCCTCGTGTCGCTCATGGAGACTGTCACTGGGTTCTCCTTTGAGGGGTTGGTATATATAGTACAATACACTGTTCCCATGTAATTGGTACCAAACTAATGACAGCATTTTTAAGTTGGGCGGGTTAATATCTCATGTGATTTCAGTGCTCACTGGATAGCTGGTTTGCTCAGACTTTTCTGTCTATATCATATATGATACTATGTGATGTTGACCATGGGCAGGTTTAATCATTCTTAAGTTCTGAAGTTTTCTGTGTTATCTGTGTCAGCATGACTTGTACGGTGCCTGTGAATCTCTTAGCTGCTGCCCTCTGATGACTGTCTCAAAATAGGACGACTGCATGGTAGAAGGCACTTCATGCACTGCATTCCACATCATCACACCTGCATTAAAGGCTTTTTGTCCTTCTCCAAAAATGATCACGGCACTAATGCATTCATTTATACAGTGCATTAGCCTACTCCTTTTGAGCTGCACACAATCCAAGCTGCTGTCATTAATAATGTATTGTTCTCAGACATTCTAATGAGTTTAAGACCATTTTCCAGGAATCCATTATGGGCCATTAGTGATACATACAAAACCTTAATACAGGCTATGATGTGTGTGCCTCACAGACTGATAGGCACAATTTCATCACAGGCTGCAATGAACACTGTGCCTCACAGGCCGATAGGCACAATTTCATCACAGGCTACAATGAACACTGTGCCTTACGGGCCAATAGGCACAATTTAATCACAGGCTACAATAAACATTGTGCCTCACAGGCCAATAGGCACAATTTCATCACAGGCTACAATGAACACTGTGCCTCACAGGCCGATAGGCACAATTTCATCACAGGCTGCAATGAACACTGTCTCACAGACTGATAGGCATGATCTCATCACAGGCTGCAATTAAACATGTGCCTCACAGACCAATGGACACGATTTTAACACAGGCTGTGATGAACCCTGTGCCTTGCAGACAGATGGACACAATCTCAACATTGGCTTTGGAGAACCTTGTGCCTCACAGACAGATCAACGTGACCCTCATCTGTTTTATACCAATAAGAAACACTGTTGCTTGAGCTTTTGTTATGTAGTTTGGGGCAACCACTTAGGGAAAGCAACTAATTAAATATAAGTTTCTTTATGTCCAGAACACTGCTGCATCAACCCTAACCCTTACCATCACCACTCAGCTGCTGGCATAATGATGCTGTTACACTAATGTCCACCTGTCCTGCTCTGTCCCACAGTCTGACAGCAACACAAGCTTCCTGCGAGCTGCCCGTGCAGGGAACCTGGACAAGGTGTTAGAATACCTGAAGGATGGTGTGGATATAAACACCTGTAACCAGGTAACTGTGTGACAACAGTCGGAAGGAATGGCTATAAACACCTGTAACCAGGCAACCATATCACACATGAAGGAAGGGATGATTATAAACACCTATTACCAGGTAACCATATCACACATGAAGGAAAGGATGGCTATAAACACCTGCAACCAGGTAACCATGTGACACCCGAAGGAAGCCATGGATATAAACACCTGTAACCAGGCAACCATATCACACATGAAGGAAGGGATGACTATAAACACCTATAACCAGGTAACTGTGTGACACCAGATGGTGTGGCGATAAAACCTGCAGCCACGTTACGGTGTCACACCCGAAGGAAGGCTTGGCTATAACACTTGCAGCCAGGTTATGGTGTCACACTTGTAACCAGGTTTCTGTTTATGCTCCATGTTGATGATCCATGTTGATATACGATGATGTCATGGTGAATGGTAGGGCTAGCAAGGTAGACCAGAAGTTTTGAGAAAAATTGCCAGGGGAAAGGACAAAACCTTGAATTATGGAGCAATTAGAATATTTAACAATGCTAATGGTTTATCTACCAAGGGTGACTCCAGCGTTTTTTCCCCCCATTATGCTTACAGAATGGACTCAATGCTCTGCATCTGGCAGCTAAGGAGGGTCACCTGGAGCTGGTGGAGGAGCTGCTGGACAGAGGGGCGTTTGTGGATTCAGCCACTAAGGTGGGTGCAGTGTGGGTGGAGATTGGGACAGTGGAGATTTAGGTGGCACCTAAAACATGCAAGCATACCTAAAACCACAAAAAAATGCTTTTTCTGTGTTTGGCTCAGAAAGGGAACACTGCTCTCCACATTGCCTCGCTGGCTGGACAGCAGGAAGTGGCAAAGCTGCTGGTGAAGAGAGGCGCTAGTGTCAATGCCCAGTCTCAGGTTGGAGCCCTTAGTCTGAAAGCTGTCCTTGTTAGCTGTGGTTCTTGGCTGCCTTTCCTTAACTCTCCCATTCTCTCAGAATGGCTTCACCCCACTGTACATGGCGTCTCAGGAGAACCACCTCGACGTGGTGCGTTACCTGCTGGAGAACGACGGGAACCAGAGCACTGCCACTCAGGTGAGTCATGTGACCAGCGGCTGTGAGGAGAGCCTGTGCATTGAGCTGAACCATCGTCTTCGCCCTCATCTAGGATGGCTTTACCCCCTTGGCCATCGCGCTGCAGCAGGGCCACGACCAGGTGGTGGCGCTACTGCTGGAGAAAGACACCAAAGGCAAAGTGCGCCTACCTGCCCTGCACATCGCAGCCCGCAAGGATGACACCAAGGCTGCAGCCCTGCTGCTGCAGAATGACCATAATGCAGACGTGCAGTCTAAGGTGGGCGTGGCCTGTGTGAATATAGGCATTGTGGGACAGGAAAAGTGGCTCAGGAATGACACGAGGCAGGGGTCCTCATCCCATTGCTGGGTATACACCCAAACACACACGCAAACACACCAATACACTATAGGCCACTTAGAGGTAACACTTCACATACCTGCATGTCATTGGGATGTAACAGGAATCATGCACAACATGGGGAAACCACATAGACCAAAGGTGGGATTTAAACCACCAACCCGGGAGGTGTGATGGGACTGCCCACAGTGCCTACATGCTTCCCAGAAGGTGTGTGTGCATGTGTGCACTGACTGAAGAGGATTATTAATGGAGATTTCAAAAGTATCTACTTAACTAACGTTTTATTCATTTTCGTGAATTTTTCTGGGTTGGGTCATGAATTAACAGTGAAATGGGATCTAGAGAGATCGATATGAAAAAAATTGTTTTTGTTTAGTATACTGTACATGTGTGTTAGTGTGTTTGAGTCATGTACATGTGTGTGTAAGTGTGTGTGTGGTGTACATGTGTGTTTTAGTGTGTGAGGTGTACATGCATATGTGTAGGTTATGTGTGTTAAGTGTACATGTGTGTTTGTGTGTGTGTAGTTTACATGTTTTTTTACTGGGTAGTGTAGTGTACATGGATGTGTTTGTGTGTGCGGTGTATGTGTATATACGTATGTGCATATGTGTAGTGTAAATATGTGTGTTTGTGTGTGTTAAGGTAACATGCATATGTGTAGGGTACATGGGTGTGTTAGTGTGTGTGTAGTATATGTGTGTAAATGTACATGCGTATGTCTAGGGTACATGGGTGTGTTGGTGTGTATGTAGTATGTATGTGTGTGTATGTACGTGCATAATTGTCATGTACATGCTTGTGATATTAACACATCTTTTTACATTCCTGCCTGCTGCTGAACCAGATGATGGTCAACAGGACGACGGAGGTATAGCCAGTTACTGTGTGTTTGCACGCATGCCCACATCACCGTGCCGTACCCGCTGCCCTGCTGCCCGAGCGCTCTGCCCTGCTCCCCATCACGCCTTCTGCTGCTGTGTTGCACTGATGTTTTGCTGAGCATTTGGAAAGTGGTCTGTCCCCCTGCATGGCGCCTGTAATTAGAGATTAGATCCCTTCCTCTGTTACTTTTCATTTCTTTCTTTTCAGTTGATATCAATACTTTTTTGTCACCTCCTTGGTTGGAATCCTTGCATCCACAGGATACATGGTACCATTACATCCCTATAAAAGTTTATATTTGATAGTAAATCACAATCTTTTAAGGTATTCTGTAGTTTCATTAGCTTTGCAGTAGAAATACATGAGTAGCTATACATTTTGTAAGGTGATATTAATAATTAATGATATTTAATTATTATTAGAAAAAAGATACTTGAAAATATTTCCCTTTTCTAACAGTATTTTAAACCTAGCCATTGCACCGAAGTGTAATGCTTCATATCATCGCATGTTACACAGCAGTAATGCGTTCATATTTTGAATAGTTTTGTAGTTACAGTATTTTTCATAATTTGCAAATATGTTTTTACATTAAATCGGACCATTTTTGTCAGAATGGAAAGGTAAGGCAATGCCTCCACTGAATTCCTCCGCATAAATAAGCCCATAAAACTGTAACATGGTTACTAATGTGATGTAGTCTCTAGAAACACATTTCTATGGTTGTATTTTTCATATATTCTGCATACATATATTTTTTATTGTTATCATATCTTTTCATTTTGATGTAACATTTATTATTTTGATTGTGAGGCTATCGTTTGCATGATACTGTTAAATGATATTTAGTTATGATTCGTTTGAATGATCCTAATAAGTGTATATGTAGCCTTTATGTGGCAGCTGCATGTGGATCATGGTGACTGTGGCTTTTCTGAGGCCTGTAACCCCTACATTCTCATCATTGCTTCTTCTTCTTCCAGAGTGGGTTCACTCCTTTGCACATCGCTGCTCACTATGGCAACGTGAATGTTTCCACGCTTCTCCTGAACCGCGGGGCAGCGGTGAACTTTACTGCGCGGGTATGAGTCTGCCTGTCTAACCCAGCAAATAGTCTGTCTAATTACAATGGGCTTTTAGCGCCTGTTCTCAAGTCGTGAGTCTGGATGGTCTCGTAAACATACCTCTCAGTCAGTCACTATAGGTCATAGCTTCAACATGGCCTTCAATCTTGATGGAGGAGAGGGGGTGGTTTTGGAAGATGACAATGTGTTTCCCCCACTCAGAATGGCATCACACCCCTCCATGTGGCCTCCAAGCGTGGAAACACCAACATGATCAGCTTACTGCTGGACCAGGAGGGTCAGATCGATGCCAAGACTCGTGTGAGTGCATCCTGCGGCCACCGGAAGCTGCCTCTTGTGTGACCTGTCCTGTGTGAGTGCATCCTGCGGCCCCCTGAAGCTGCCTCATATGTGACCTGTCCTGTGTGAGTGCATCCTGTGGCAGCTTGAAGCTGCCTCTTGTGTGACCTGTCCAGTGTGAGTGCATCCTGCGGCCACCTGAAGCTGCCTCTTGTGTGACCTGTCCCGTCCTGTGTGAGTGCATCCTATGACCACCTGAAGCTGACTCGTATGTGACCTGTTCTGTGTGAGTGCATCCTGCAGCCTCCTGAAGCTGCCTCGTGTGTGACCTGTCCCGTCCTGTGTGAGTGCATCCTATGACCACCTGAAGCTGCCTCGTATGTGACCTGTCCTGTGTGAGTGCATCCTGCAGCCTCCTGAAGCTGCCTCGTGTGTGACCTGTCCAGTGTGAGTGCATCATGCAGCCTCCTGAAGCTGCCTCGTGTGTGACCTGTCCCGTCCTGTGTGAGTGCATCCTATGACCACCTGAAGCTGACTCGTATGTGACCTGTTCTGTGTGAGTGCATCCTGCAGCCTCCTGAAGCTGCCTCGTGTGTGACCTGTCCCGTCCTGTGTGAGTGCATCCTATGACCACCTGAAGCTGCCTCGTATGTGACCTGTCCAGTGTGAGTGCATCGTGCAGCCTCCTGAAGCTGCCTCGTGTGTGACCTGTCCAGTGTGAGTGCATCGTGCGGCCCCCTGAAGCTGCCTCATATGTGACCTGTCCAGTGTGAGCGCATCGTGCAGCCTCCTGAAGCTGCCTCGTGTGTGACCTGTCCAGTGTGAGTGCATCGTGCAGCCCCCTGAAGCTGCCTCATATGTGACCTGTCCCCCGTGTGAGTGCATCCTGCGGCCACCTGAAGCTGCCTCATATGTGACCTGTCCCATGTGAGTGCATCCTATGACCACCTGAAGCTGCCTCGTATGTGACCTGTACTGTGTGAGTGCATCATGCAGCCTCCTGAAGCTGCCTCGTGTGTGACCTGTCCCGTGTGAGTGCATCCTGCGGCCCCCTGAAGCTGCCTCATATGTGACCCGTCCAGTGTGAGCGCATTCTGTGGCAGCCTGAAGCTGCCTCGTGTGTGACCTGTCCCGTGTGAGTGCATCCTGTGGCAGCCTGAAGCTGCCTCATATGTGACCTGTCCAATGTGAGTGCATTCTGTGGCAGCCTGAAGCTGCCTCTTGTGTGACCTGTCCAGTGTGAGTGCATCCTATGGCTGCCTGAAGTGGTATCAAGGACGTGCATACATTTTGCTGCAGTTTTCTTGCAAATAAATAGAAAAAATAAACAATGCAATTACTTTTATTCTTATTCCAGGATTGCACATATCTACAGCACATTGTGTGCAGCTCATGGCCTGTGGTCCTGCTCATTCACTCTGCTTCATTGCTACCCTCACTATGTGTCCTGCTTTAACTGCGCTGTCTGCCTGTCCCACATCAGGATGGCCTGACACCCCTGCACTGTGCAGCCAGAAGTGGACATGCACCAGCAGTAGAGATGCTGCTGGAGAGAGGAGCTCCTCTCCTGGCCAGAACAAAGGTACCACTGTGCGCACATATACAGACACTCGCCGACATCCAGCATGTGCCTTGTGTATTACTTCACCACCACCATCATCTTGACCTCTGCTCCCCAGAATGGGCTGTCCCCACTACACATGTCCGCCCAGGGTGACCATGTGGAGTGTGTCAAGCACCTGCTTCAGCACCAGGCACCTGTTGATGATGTCACATTGGACTACCTGACAGCGCTGCACGTGGCAGCGCACTGTGGCCATTACCGAGTCACCAAGTTACTCCTGGACAAGAAGGCTAATCCCAATGCCCGTGCTCTGGTACCACCTTCCTGGTTCTGGTTTGGGTTGAGTGGTTTTGGTTTAGTTTGGGTTTAACCTGGGAAAAGTGGTAATGTACTTCTGAGGTCTGCTTCGGTGCTGACCGTCTCACTGTGTTTTCGCGCAGAATGGCTTCACTCCACTGCACATTGCGTGCAAGAAGAACAGAGTCAAGGTGATGGAGCTGCTGGTCAAATACGGTGCTGCCATTCAGGCCATCACAGAGGTAGGGCATCCGCAATGGCTGATCAGAGCATCGTTGGGGGTCTTGAGTGCAGCCACTGAAGCTTTTGCTCTCGCTTGCAGTCTGGCCTCACGCCCATCCACGTGGCTGCCTTCATGGGGCACCTGAGCATCGTACTTCTCCTGCTGCAGAACGGGGCATCACCCGACATCTGCAACATCGTAAGTCGCCTTCCGCCTAAGCAAAACCCTACAGGTGTGTCCTTCGACACACACATGTAAGAGCCGTTATTCCTGCACTTGCATGTTTCTGCAGCGTGGGGAGACGGCGCTGCACATGGCCGCTCGTGCAGGGCAGCTGGAGGTGGTGCGCTGTCTGCTGAGGAATGGAGCTCAGGTGGATGCCATAGCTCGGGTGAGACCCTTCACACTACACACGTGTACTCATGCATAACATTCTGTATGTGTGTGTGTTTGTGTGTGTGTGTTTGCATTTCTGAATCAATACTGCCCCTTTTCTGGCAGGAGGACCAGACCCCTCTTCACATCGCAGCTCGCCTGGGGAAGACTGATATTGTCCAGCTGCTACTGCAGCACATGGCCCACCCAGATGCCTCCACAGCCAGCGGCTACACCCCTCTGCACATCTCCGCCCGTGAGAACCAGCTGGAGGCAGCCGCTGTTTTGCTGGAGGCTGGCGCCTCACACTCTCTGTTCTCCAAGGTGGGCATCACAGCCATGGATAAGAATGAAAAATAGCACTGAAAAAAAGAGAAAATGTGCGAGAGAGCACCCCCTGCTGGACAAAGGTATAATATTTTCTATTTGTGATCTATAGACCATGACTTCAGAGTAAGAGGTTAAGAAGTTAAGAATGTGGAGTTAAAAATATGAGTGTCATTAACTTAAGGAGATGAATGTGAGCGTAATTTGTAAGTGCTATTTCTACTTTTCACTCGCCCCACAGAAAGGATTTACCCCCCTGCATGTTGCTGCTAAGTATGGAAGCCTGGAGGTGGCAAAGCTTCTGCTGCAGAGGCGAGCGTCCCCTGACGCTGCCGGAAGTGTAAGTGCAGCTGCCTTCTTAGGCATCATGCATTTCATAGCAAAAATGTTTAATTCAAGTCTAGCATCATAATCTGATTTTTATCTATATGCATATGTTTCGATACCACTTCAATTAAATTAACTTAAAACTTATTGATATCAGACCACTCCCTGACTAGCCTGACTAATGGGTTTCTAAAACCTCACTAAGGCCTCTCATGTACACTGCAAAACCCTTTAAAATATAATATAATTGATAATTGATAATTCTGCACCGGCTCACAGCCTCAAAGTCTTGTTCCTACATTCAAACAGAATGGACTGACTCCACTTCACGTTGCTGCCCACTATGACAACCAGCAGATGGTGCTGTTGCTATTGGACAAGGGTGCCTCACCTCACGCCACAGCCAAGGTAAGACGATCCCCATGTCCGGAACATACAGTAAGAGAGGTCGGGTTTGTGCTCGCGGGATGTGCATATTTCATACATAATATACGTAACAGTTCATGTAACGTTTCACTATAGCCATGTTTTGCATTACGCTTTCATTCACTTAAAAAATATGCACTGGACTTATACACTTTGTACTCACATTTTGTGGGCTGTATTCGGGTCTTATGTTTACATTCTACAGACTTGCATTGTACTAGAGCTACCGCGATTTGGCGACGTAGTCGATGACGTTGACGTTGCGTCGACATCAATATTTTTGATCGACACATCTTTTATTATTTTAATAAAATTACATTTATGATTTCTAAAACGCTTCAATTCATTATAACAAGGGTTTCCCTTTAATATTACTACATAGTTACGGAGGAGGAGGTAAGGAGCATGCAGTGATACAGTGACTTGAAACCACCTCAGGGGTGAGAACCTGAGTGCACCCATGTGGTGGGTGATACCTCAGCAACACGTACACCAGTCCAAATGGACAAGTGTGAGTTTTTTTCTGGTGGCTGGAGTGCCAATCCTGCCACCAACCCCCAAGTTTTTCCCTGTAAGTTGGAGTACCTCCTTATAGGGCTGAATGTAGGTTAACGTCACACTCAGGACGTAATTACGGGAGTGGTTCAAATTATCAGAAAACAAAAAGGTGGTTTTACCACAGCGGTACTAGCACTATGCACGATTGAGCACCTGAAGAAGCACACAGGCGCTGCTCTACACCGCCAGATTATGCGAAACTCCTTGTTGTCTATTCATGTTTATTAAATTACCATTAGTACGGAGAGATTTTTTTATATCTTTTGTCCTTGTCGTTGCTAAATACACTCATTATTAAAGCCATAAATTTGTCTAACATAAATTTGTCTACTAAACAAGTGTCTATGAAAATGTTTAGACTACAATCTGGGTTTATTCTACGTGGATTGACAGTATCAGTGTTCCTGCGCGTTGTAATTGGGACCAGTTTCGTTATTAACTTAAACTGAAACGAAAACGGACACTAAATAAAAATAATGTGTGAACTGAATTAAATTAAAATGAAAGTCATATTTACAAAAAAACGTGTCGGACTTTTGCAATGGCACATACAGTTTGTTGCTATGAAAATAAAATTAACTTAAGCCGTCGAGTCGGTTTTCTGGAGGAAAATTAATCGTTGACATTAATCGACCAATCAGTAGAATTAATAGAATATAAATTAGTCTACAGAAAAATAGTCGTTAGTGGCAGCCTTGCATTGTACCCACATCTTGTTACACCCTGCACCCATGGTACACACTGTCCTCAAATAAGTGTTTTAGTACTCACCTGGTACTCAAAATTTACGTCGATCCTTTATACTCTTAAAATAAATATGTCTTACTCACTTTGCTTATTTATTACATTTTCTGGTAATACTGGTAACACAATACGGTTACTTAGCAGCTTAGTAGTAATTCAGTTACTATTCAAGTACAAATATAGTAGCTACTTGAGATAAAAGATGCATTAGGTTCATTAACAATGAACAAACGTGAGATCATTATATCACTTTTTGTGTTATTGATTATTTGTTCCTTCAGTAGTTCACAAAGGTTTATAGAATTATGAGTTGATTCATGACAAATTAAGAGCATAATAGGATATTATTTGTGCCCTGTCATGTACAGTGTTGCCCATTCTCTGCACTGATATATGTTGCTATTATGCTTACACTGCAGTCCAGTTTCTGGGAAGTTCTGACCCAGCAACCCATCTGTCTGTCTGTCTGTATATCCATCCATCCCTCTGTCCATCTGTCTCTGTCTATTGACTTTCCGTTTGTCTGTCCATCTGTCTCCCTCTGTCTCTGTCTGTCCACCATTTGCCTGTCTCTGTCTGACTTCCATTTGTCTGTCTGTTTATCTGTATATCCATCCATCCCTCTGTCCATCTGTCTCCGTCCGTTGACTTTCCGTTTGTCTGTCCATCTGTCTCCCTCTGTCTCTGTCTGTCCACCATTTGCCTGTCTCTATCTGACTTTCGTCTGTCTATCCGCCTGTCTCTCTCTTTCTGTCTCTCCAGAACGGCTACACTCCGCTGCACATCGCAGCTCGGAAGAACCAGATGGACGTGGCAGTGGCACTGATACAGCACGGTGCCTCCACCATCTCCGTCAGCAAGCAGGGGGTCAGCCCGCTGCACCTGGCCTCCCAGGAGGGCCACGCCACCATGGCCACACTGCTGCTGCGCAACAGCGCTCATGCCAACGCGGCTGCCAGGGTCAGTCAGGCCGTCTGACCTGCTTCCCAGCAGTCTCTGCTTTTGGAATCCCCTCCTGACTGCTGACTGATTGCTTACTTACTATTTGGACAGTTTCCACTTGACTTTCAGTAGTACTGACATGCACGTCATCTAAGATTAGTAGCTGACTGGCTATGGTTACTGATAAGCCGTGATTGGTCCGTCCTGCTTTCACAGAATGGCTTGACCCCCCTGCATTTAGCGGCCCAGGAGGACAAGGTCAGCGTGGCTGAGATACTTACAAAAAACGGCGCAAACATTGAGCAGCAAACTAAGGTATCTTTTTTGTAGAACTGTATTCTGTAAAACAAGAAAACTGAGTTTTGTTTGAATTTGACAGTCTCCCTCTTGTACTCTGTTCGCTAGATGGGCTACACACCCCTGATTGTAGCATGTCACTATGGAAATATGAAGATGGTGAATTTCCTGCTGCAGCATGGTGTCAATGTGAATGTTAAAACCAAGGTAGGCTTTTCTTCAGTGTTCCACTCTGGAATGCAAGTCCAACAGGGACAGCAAATCAGCTTGGAGGAATAACCTTCCTTCTGTCATCCTTCTTCAGAATGGATACACCCCCCTTCACCAAGCAGCACAGCAGGGGAACACACACATCATTAGCCTGCTTTTGGAGTGCGGGGCCAAACCCAATGCCATGACTGTGGTGAGTATGAACTCATACACTTATACTCCCAAACTCCAACCATAACTATAACCATAACCCTAACACATTGCCATGACTATAGTGAGTATGAACTCGTACACATACACCCTTAACCCTAACCATAACGATAACTATAACCATAACCATAACCCTAATTTGGGGACATAGGGTTATGCAATAGGACATTGGAAAGTTTGAAGTATACTGTTAAATCGAGTTACCCTGTGGCTTCCTGGGGGCCCTGAGTAATCATAGAAAGAGGTTTTGATGCCTGAAAAAGCTAAAACCTTTGTATCCCTAACCCTAGCTATAGTTGGCTAACTGTAACACATTGCTATGACTATAGTGAGTATGAACTGACATACTCACAGGTAACATAAACAGATACACATATGCAGCCCATATTTTTGTACCTTCATAGAGCGGAAACACAGCCCTGTCCATCGCCAAGCGGTTGGGGTACATTTCTGTGGTGGACACCCTGAAGATGGTCACTGAGGAGGTCATCACCACCACCACGGTGAGGGCCAGCTAAAAAGAACAGTCTGCAGCTATTGCTCAGGATATTAGGTTGCACCCAGCAGAGGCTGACTCTCTTGTCCTGTGTTTGTCTTTCCTGCGCTCGCATGCCGCATGTTCCTCGTCAGACTGTGACAGAGAAACACAAGCTGAACGTCCCGGAGACCATGACTGAAGTGCTTGATGTGTCTGATGAGGAAGGTGAGTCAGCCGGGTCGCCACGTGCTGCCATGTCACTGTTTTCTGTGTAAATGATGCATCATGGGTAATGAAGTTTCAGCAATGTGCTCTCCCTTAGACTCGACACAATGGTGGGTGAAGGTTAGTGTCATTCTTAATTAGATGGTAAGATGAGGGTTCCGTCATGCTTCCCAGGGGAAGACACGATGATGGGGGATGGGGGAGAGTACCTGCGAGTGGAGGACCTGCGGGACCTGGGGGATGACTCCTTGTCCGGAAATTACCTGGAGGGCTTAGACTACCTTCGCTTCAGCCTGGAAGGAGGCCAACAGGAGAGGTTTGCTGCTTTTCTCATTTCAATGTTTCCTTGCTTCCTATATGTTGGGTTAGCTGTCCATCTATCTGCGTGGCTCTAGGCTCAGGCTGCACACTTCCCTTTGGACTACACACCTATAGCACACTCCCCTTTGGAGTACACACCTATAGCACACTCCCCTTTGGAGTACACACCTATAGCACACTCCCCTTTGGAGTACACACCTATAGCACACTTCCCTTTGGAGTACACACCTATAGCACACTCCCTTTGGAGTACACACCTATAGCACACTCCCTTTTGGAGTGCGCTATATGCCTCACCATCTGCACTCTCAGAGCATATCAGCTATTTTTTATTTACATAGTTTTTCCTAAGTGATATTCTGAGCTGCTGTACTTGGGTGATGTTTCTATAACCCCTGGAGATCCCATCCGTAACCCTAACCCTATAACCCCTGGAGATCCCATCCGTAACCCTAACCCTATAACCCCTGGAGATTACATTCTCCTCCCTTGCCTAAATCCCTGCTACTCCTCCTCTTTTATCTCTGTTTCCCTCTGTCACCTGAGTAACAACCAGTGTTTGTTAATCAGTTCCAACAGGTCTCAGCTCACTTCCAGACAACAGCAACGTAATCAGAAAGGTGGAGCACTGATGGAGGACATCATCAGCAGTCAGAAGGTGAGTCACCTATTTACTAATGATGTCAGACTTTGTGTCACCTGATGGATGAACGTTATCTATGCTCAAGTGATGTCAAGTGATGTCAATGCCATCTTTGGCCACTAGGTGGCTATTTCTTTTGAGAACCAGAAAGATTCATACCGCTTGAGCTGGGGCATTGAAAACCTGGACAATGTGGCCCTTTCCTCTAGTGCTTTGCAGTCTGGGTGAGTATAATGACATTTACAGACATCCACATGGCTTTGGAATGCCCGAATAAATATCGTAATGCCAAACCACACAAAACAGAACTTCAGAAGTTGATGAAGTGACGTGAAATTAAATTGTTTTTGGAAATAGCCACACAATGTTACCTTCTCTAATGATCACTGTCTGCTCTCTTCCCAGCCACATCTCTCCATTTCATGAACTTGACAACAGCAGGTAAAGATCCTCCTCCTCCTCCGGCTCTCTGTCACCAGGAGCCCGGTCTGCCTGTATTTTCGGCCTTTTCTGAACTTCCTGTACGTTTCTGCATAGCTTCTTGGTCAGTTTCATGGTGGATGCACGCGGCGGGGCCATGCGGGGATGCCGACACCATGGTCTGCGCATCATCGTCCCCCCGCGGAAGTGCTCCGCCCCCACGCGCGTCACCTGCCGCCTGGTGAAGAGGCAGCGCCTGGCGTGCATGCCCCCCCTGCTGGAGGGTGAGGCGCTGGCTCACCGGCTGGTGGAGGTGGGACCCACTGGGACACAGTTTCTTGGGTACGGCCGCGGCAGCAAGGCCTGTGAGGGCCATCCGTCTGCTCTGCTTCATGTTGTTTGCTCTCGTTTATTAGGGTAATGGTTACAAAACAAGAAGTTGTTTTTTTTAAAGTTCAATAAATGCATGAAGTCAGTGAGTAATCATGTTAAATAATCGTGATCTCAGTATTGACCAAAAAGAAAAAAATCGTGATTCTGATTTCTGCGATAAACGAACAGCCCTAGGTGAAGATTACTTTGATTTTCTGCCAGTGCCAGGCCTCCCCAGTGCAGGATAGCCACTGGGGAGGCCTGACAGTTTCACTGCAGTAAACTGACATGTAGCCCTGGGCTCCTGGTTCTCCTCTCTCCCCTCAGGAAGCTGCATCTTCCAGCTGCTCCCCCTCCTCTTAACGAAGGAGAGAGCTTGGTCAGCCGAATCCTACAACTGGGGCCTCCTGGGACCAAATTTCTTGGGTAGGAAGCTCACCAGCTCATACTGCTGGTCCCACATCCCCCTTACCCTGAACGTCATAGGTCCCTGTGTCACTTTGTTAGTGCTTCTGTCTTTATCAGTGTGTTTTTCTTCAGTTTATTGCATATGTTTGTATCTGTTTTCGACTGTTCGAATAGTGTTCCTGAAAACAAATCCCACAAAGGTATCGTAAGAAGTTTTCCAGAACTTGTAAATGGCAGACAGTGTGCTCTGTGACATGACTGCATGCAGTCGACCTGGGGCCTAACACTGTGGCGCTAACACCATGGCGCTAACACTGTGGGGCTAACACTGGGGCGCTAAAACTGTGGGGCTAACACTGTGGGGCGCTAACACTGTGGGGCTAACACTGGGGCGCTAACACTGTGGGGCTAACACTATGGGGCGCTAACACTGGGGCGCTAACACTGCTGTCATGGCAGACCAGTGGTGCTGGAGATCCCACACTTTGCCGCATTGCGAGGGGCAGAGAGGGAACTGGTGACTCTACGCAGTGAAACGGGGGAGAGCTGGAGGGAGCATCACTGTGAACACACTGAAGAAGAGCTCAACCAGATCCTCAACGGCATGGATGAGGGTGAGGCTGTGCACACGAGCAATGGGCATGCAAGTGCCTCACTAAAGGTGGCCAGTGTGTCCTTCACAGCTTCAATTGTCAACCTGCAGAGCTGGACCCCCCAGAGGAGCTGGAGCGGCGGCGCATCTGTCGAATCATCACGAGAGACTTCCCACAGTACTTTGCGGTTGTGTCCCGGATCAAGCAGGACAGCCACCTGATGGGGCCAGAGGGTGGGGTTCTGAGAAGCAGCGTGAACCCTGAGGTCCAAGCTGTGTTCCCAGAGGGCGCACTCACCAAAAGGATCCGGGTTGGCCTGCAGGTACAGCCGCGCTCCAAATGGCCGCTAATATTAGCAGTACTATAAACAAAGCAAACTTCATTTTGATTAAGAAAACTACCGCATTTGGCACATTACTTACGCTGTCTGGTTTACCATGTTTCTCTCAGGTACAGCTGTCTGTCCTTTGTTTCCCAGGCCCAGATCATTCCCCCTGACCTTGTGAAGAGGATTCTGGGTAATAAAGCAAGATTCAGCCCTATCGTCACAATGGAGCCACGGAGGAGGAAGTTCCACAAGCCCATCACTATGACCATCCCTGTGCCTAAGGCTTCTGCTAACGACGGAGCCAGCGGATATGGGGCCGACCTGCTCACACTGCGGCTGCTGTGTAGCATCACCGGTACAGCATCAGCACGTCGTGGCTCTTTGGGGAGCAGAACGTTGTACCTGTGGTTTAAGTTTTAGTGTAGCAGAGGCTAGTTGTTACTGCTAACTCATTTGTGTGCCTGCTATAATCTGTCAGGCGGCACCACTCCTGCGCAATGGGAGGACATCACAGGAAGTACGCCGCTCTCGTTCTCCAACGAGTGCGTGTCCTTCACGACGAACGTGTCAGCGAGGTAATGCTGCGGTCATAAAATCCAGCTGCTTCACAAGATTATTCATTGCATCGTTGATCAAGTGCTGAATGATAGATGATTTTTATCTATGGGCTCTTGAGTGTATTGATGTTTGCCAAAATATCTGCCTGATCTATTTACAGATAATTTGATCCATTGACGTAGTATTTGTACAATGTGTCCCCATAGGTTCTGGCTGATTGACTGCCGACAGGTGCAGGAATCCGTTAACTTCTGCACACAGGTGTACCGAGATGTGATCTGTGTTCCCTACATGGCAAAGTTTGTTATTTTTGCCAAGACACTGAACCCCATCGAGGCACGACTTCGCTGCTTCTGCATGACCGATGACAAGATGGACAAGACCCTGGAGCAGCAGGAGAACTTCACTGAGGTGGCACGTAGCCGAGATGTGGAGGTGAGAAGGAGCCAGAGAGCCTGAGAAATGGACCCCACCCCTACAGGCTCACTAACAGATTTCGTTTTGCTGCAGGTGCTAGAGGGAAAGCCCATTTATGCAGACTGTTTTGGCAACCTGGTACCACTAACAAAGACGGGCCAGCATCACATCTTCAGCTTCTTTGCATTTAAGGAGAACCGCCTGGCTCTGCTCATTAAGGTACAACCTCCCAAGAACTCTTAATGTATTAATGACATCATATTAACTTCCAAACATGAAGCACGTTGGGGAATTTTGTGTTTTGAGCATTATGAAGTTTCACATCTACTCTTGCACGGCACCAGTCAAATACAGACAGATCTTTGGCATGGACTCTCCCTCAAAAGTGCATTAAATTAAAATGGAACCCTCCATTTGTAAAATGCCTGTCTGCCATGTCCTGTCCCCAGGGGTGAAGTAATGCGGAGGTCACTCCCGTATCAGGGAAAATCAAATGGTGAAACCTAAAAGGAATCAGGCTTCCTTTATAATTCTCTTTCATCTCTTTTTCGGCTCGAAACAAAACCGCTCCCGTGACCTGCCTGTCGCTGATAATGGGGCCTCTCTGCAGGTGCGCGACAGCACACAGGAGCCATGCGGCCGCCTCTCATTCACCAAGGAGCCACGGTCATACAGAAGCCTGAACATGAGCGCCATCTGCAACCTGAACATCACTCTGCCAGCCTACAGCAAGGTGAGGCCTCCTGCTAAGGGCTACTAACCCCTACCCCTAACCATAAGGACTACTAACCTCTAACCCTAACCATAAGCACTACTAACCTCTAACCCTAACCATAAGCGCTACTACACTCTAACCCTAACCATAAGACCTACTAACCTCTAACCCTAACCATAAGAGCTACTACACTCTAACTGTAACCATAAGACCTACTAACCTCTAACCCTAACCATAAGGACTACTAACCCCTAACCCTAACTAAAAGGGCTACTAACCACAACCCGATATACTCAGGTGTAGCATTTGAGGCAAAAATGTGGTGAATATTACCAAAGTCATCCGTACTTTAAAATAAATCTTAGAAATATTTTTAAATGTAAAAAGTAAATCTACTATTGTGTTCCTATAACATATACAATAAGGTATCTTCATTAAAATTGTATTTATTTGTTGACCTGATACTGTTAGTTTAGTTGCCTTACACTACTTGTTTTTTTTTTTCTCTATTCCTGAAAAAGGATTCTGATTCGGACCCAGAGACAGATGAACAGGTAAACAGCTTCAATGTGTCTGTATTTAAAGACAATAACCTGTCTTTATGGCAGGGCAGAGAATGGGAGCGCAGTGCCGGAAGCCCCGTCTTTAGCCACAGCCAAAATCCTCCATGCACCCAGAGGATGACATCATTGAGCTCACAACTGAATGGGGCAGAGTAGTGTGTGTGTGTGTGTGTGTGCCATCTAAATTACTATTATGTTGAATGATAATTGTTTTTCTATTCCTCTCTAATAGACTGATCAGACCCATGACAAATGTAAGTTGTGCTTTTGTGATTGTTTAAATGAAAAATTGAATGTTATCTGTGAAAACTTGTGCTTCTTGTGACTGCTTTACTTATATACTGAATCTTTCAGATATGCCTTCAGCTTGACAGCAGATTCTGTGTATAATCATGTTCACTAGTACTGTAAGAACCTTAAACTTGTTATATGCATTAAATGGCATTAGCTCTAGCTTTGCTAAGGGTATCATGCTTTTCCAAATGCATTTAAGTGCTATTTAAGGTTTGTGTTCAAAATCAAAGTTTTGCCATCACCTCAAAATTCCACTGATGCTGATAGCACACTGTTCATGAGTCACGTGTCCATTTCAATCACATAAACATAGCACAAACTATTTCTTAAAATGAACAGTAAATTGCAATGTGGGCTATCTGGTTAAACAGAATGGTCTACATTATGTAGTTTGACATCAAAACAAACCCCAATTTGTACAACCATAAACACATTTTGGAACTATGGTTTTGCATCCATGATGACAAAATATAGTGGAAATGATATTTTTTTTATGATTTACATCTGTCCATCTTTTTCCATAACTGCTTATTCAGTGCGGGGTTGTAGTTAAACTGGAGACTCCCCCAGGAATTCCAGGACTATATTTTCTAAAACTGTATCCTATTTGCTACTGACATTCTTCCTAAAAATCCATCTAGTCTATGAACATCACCACATTCTTCTTGGATGATCGAAATAATGTTTTGAATAGAAACCACAATCCAACCAGGCCCATCTGCTTTTTTTTTTTATCTATGGCCTTGAATAATTTGTTTTGTGTCCTCATTATTTCATTTGAAAACATTCTGTGTCAAGTGTGAACATTAGTTTTCCATTTTCATTGTTCACTGACGAAGTTTGCAACAGTTTCTTAATTTCCCTGTATCTTTGTTCATATGTATATATCTGTTATGCCTACTTGTTATGCGTATGGGTAGCCGGTGCATGTATGCGAGAACCACCTGCTCATTGTATTTGTAAATGTCCTGTATTTGTAGCCGTAGTTTCTGTGCTTTTGCTGATGGCACCATCCTGCTGACAGAACTTCATTTTGTGCTGACTGTTCATTCAGTGCAAGGTTATACTCTCTTCATTGTGTGTCTTTTTCCATCTCTTTTGTTTTTTATTCATTTCCATTTATATTTCTTTTGACTGGAATTGAAGATGATCAAGACTCAGAGTCCACAGAGACATCGTTCCTGAAATCGCAAGTTCTGTGCCACTCTGCTGCACTGGCCAGTCCAGACCTGTCAGACATGTCAGAGTTGAAGCAGGACGTCATTAAGTTGCCTGCTCTTCTCACAGTGGACTTCACAGGAAAGTCGATATTTACTGGAGTGGGGGATGATAGAGAAACAGAGGGGGAGCCAGGAAAGCCTTTTGAAATAGTGGTGCGAGTCAGAGAAGGCTTGGAGAAGGTTGGCGAGATGCAGAAAAGCAGGGCATCAATGATGGACACAGTGACAGAGACAACACTGAATACTGTGGAAGGAAGAGAAAGTCAGGATGTAGAAAAGGTGGAGAAAAAAGTTGAGGAAGCTCCGTTTCAGGAAATTCGAATCAGCAGGGGATACTCAAGACCAAATACAACAAAAGATGTCTCAGGCGTTATCAACATCCTCAGAGAGGATCTTATCACATACCTGTCTGGGGTGGTTGTGAAACCGCTCCAGGAGGACATTGTCAAAGAAGAATTCACACAAGTGATTTTGAGTAAGGTCTCCCCACCTGAAATCAAAAAGCCAGCTAGGAGGAAACTGAGGGAGAGGAAGCACACTGAACCGGAACAGGGAACCAGTTTTGGGGCCATTCTTCTCAGGGATAGCTCAGACGAGCTGCTTGATGATGATGTCCTGGGCCGGGGCCCGGACTCCCCAGCAGTTGTGGAGACCCCTATTGGTTCCATCAAAGACAAAGTACAAGCACTGCAAAAGAAAGTGGAGGAGGAGGAAAACCAAAGAAGGATAACAACATTCCAAGGAAGAGTATATTCCGAGAATAAATCCTCTCCTAGTATCACTAAGAAAGAATCTAATTTAATGGAAGCCCCCTCCACGTCTCAGAGTTCTGTATCAGACAAGCCAGAAGAGGCGATGTCTGTGCGAGAATTGATGAAGGTCTTTCAGTCAGGACAGATAGAGTCAAACACTAAATCTGGCCTCTTTCAACACAAAATTCCAACAAAAGAAACCTTGCCATTTAGTGGGACAGTCTGTGGCTCCCAATCCAAAGAAGAAATAAAAACATCAGTGGCTCTTCATAGTGAGATAACAGATTCCAGTGTTACAGACAAAGTGCAGATTGACCAGGTATCCATGCACACTGTGTATTTTAGTGAAACCTTGAAATCGGAGCTGGAGGAAAATGCAGTGTCACCAGGTGACAAGAATGAAGATATTTCAGTCTGTAAAATAAACTCTGAGGACTCTGAGAAACTTAATCTGACTGCCACGACTGTCCCAGATATCACTGCAGAAGAAAACAACCTTGATACTACAGTCAATATGCAGAGCAGAGCTCTAGATTGCAGCCCTCCAGACAAGGCCATGAAGTTACATGACTACAGTTTGCACACAGATACTGAGGATGGCTTTGTGCACAAGGGCTTGGAAGAAACTCCAGAATTCAGCTGTGAGAGTCAGGATTATTTGGACAGAAAGTCCAGTCATCAACTTTTTGAAACCACTGAGTCAAAAGACCAAATGGTAGAGATTAATTGCTTTTCCTCTGAGGAAACAATAAAGAACAGTGATGAGTCTGCTATCAAAGTGGTTCAATTTAGGCAGAGAAACTATGCCCTCTCTCTAGAGGAAGAAGATGTTCCATCAGGACATAAGCCCTCTGAATCTTGGCAGCCCGCCATTGACACTGGAGACACCATTTTGAATGACAGTCAGAACCATGCCCTCTCTCTAGAGGAAGAAGATGTTCCATCAGGACATAAGCCCTCTGAATCTTGGCAGCCCGCCATTGACACTGGAGACACCATTTTGAATGACAGTCAGAACCATGCCCTCTCTCTAGAGGAAGAAGATGTTCCATCAGGACATAAGCCCTCTGAATCTTGGCAACCCTCTAATGATAATGAAGACACCAGTCAAACTGAGGCAGACCACACGTATAGTCCTACCAACCTTGATCTGCCGCTCAAACCACAGGACTTAGAGGGATTGAGCTCCTTGGCTGATGCATCCTTCAGTGTTAGCCACAAGGATTCCCTGGAGGCCAGTCCTGTTACCGTAGACAATTCCTCTCGTAAATCCCCCGATTCAATTGAACCAAGTCCAACTAAGGAATCACCATGCCGTGATTCCCTAGAAACTAGTCCCATGGAGCAAAAATCAACAACCATTAATGAGCTTTCAGTTGATCCTTTATTGTTTGAAGTAGATCTTCTACCAGATAAAATTCAATATGAGGATAGTGTGGTGAAGGACCATAGTTTTGAACGAACCATTCAAATGGAAGGAGAGAGTTCACATTCCCCCAATGTCATAATCTGTGAGAAAGAAAGCTGTGATATCACCCTTAAACCATCTGAAAGCCCATCAAACATAACTGCAACATTAACAGACTTGAAGCCTGACAGTGATTCTGAATGTACTGAGCTTCAAAAGCAATTCACCCCGGAGGAAGAGATGTTTAAAATGGCCACAAAAGTTAAGACATTTAATGAAATGGAAAAGGACGCTAAATCCGAACAAGATGCTATTAAAGAAGACCTATCTCCTGTAACAACTGAAATTGTAGAAGACAGAAGTCATCACATAGGAGTGGTGTCACCAGGTGAAAAAATATTGGAGATGGAGAATAAAAATTTCATGGGTCCAGTTATGTCAGCAGAACATTTTGTTGAAGTAGAACCTCAGTCCCCTGTTTCACCACAAGAGCATGTTGATTCTTTTGAGACCAAAGAATTATACCCCATTGATATATCCAGTGAATCCAGAAAAGAAACAGAGGTTGAAGGCAGTGAAGCTATAGAAACAGTTTCATCAAGCTTAGAAAACACTGAACATCAGTCAGGTACAGCAGAAAACAAACAAGACGACAATTGCATTGAACATATTCGGACCACATCCAGAGATGAGGGATTGCAAAGGGAACTGAATTCATTTATGTTTCAAGAGGGCAAGCTGTTTGAGATGACCAGAGGTGGTGCTATTGATATGACACAAAGAAGTTTTGAAGAAGAAGTGTTTGGCATAGGTTTCTTACATATAGACAAGTACCCTGCTGAGGAGGGCCTAGTGGATGAAAACAAAGAAGATACCATTGAGTGGAACACCGTCAACGATCTGAGTATAGCAGACGGAGCAGAGAAAAGCCATAAACCTGTGTCAGATTCACAAGGATGTGGACATGATCAGTTTCTGGAGAGTGGCATCAGCTCCTCAGAGAACATGGACTGGGATTCTGCTGCTGACACCTCCCCGAACACCCAAAGGCTTCTTTCCATAACCACCAAATCTGTTCATGCCGAACAGGATGCAGAGTCTCTTGACCACTCCCCAAAGGAACAACAGTCTGTCATTAGACTCTCCCCCCTTGCTGATGAGACTGTAGTGCCCCTCTGTAGCCAAGTGGCGGACACATCAGAGAACATGAACCAGATCCTTTCACCCCTGCATTCTCCACACCTGGTCTTACCTTGGTCTCTCAATTTGCAGGAGAAAGGGAGACCCAGTTCTGAAACACCAGTCAAAGCAGAACCACTAAAACGCAAGTCCTGCTCTGATACAGCAGTACAGTATACAGAGTCACTCAAAGTCAGAAAAGAACATCAACCTACTGTGCAGGGACACAGGAGCAAATCTGACTCAGATACAGTTTCCTTCAAAGGGTTTTTCAAAACCCAAAATGAGTATGAAAATGACTATTCTCGGGAAATTGACACAGAAGATAGCCTGCGGCAGCCAGAAGATTCTTCTGATAAGTTAAATGCTCTACTTTCACAGCAGTGCATTAGAACTGAACCTGGACTAAAATTCAGCTTGTCCACCTCAGACAGAGAGCCAGCCTTTGAAAACACATCAAGTATAAAAGTCCGTCAGACCAGCACTCCTGAACAGGGGTCTGTTTCTGATGATGTCTTTTTTATGAGATCGCGGGAAAGTTCTGTACAGATTCGGACCATTACTGGTGAAAATGCCGCACGTCAACATGAAGGTATCTGCTTCTTGGATCTTTCTTTCTTGTTGTAGCAGTAAAGACTTGATCATTTCAAACTAGTGTTTTGCACACAGTCCTGTGGTGTTTCCAAGTTTGTCTTGTGTTGTGACACATTGTGTTTGTCTCTTGTATCAGAGTGCAAAAAATCTTGCCTGACTATTAAAGGCAATATTATGTTATAGTCTTAAATATAGCATAGTTGAAGTCTTAGTATAATACTATACTTACTGTATATGAATGTGAGCTATCAAACGTCAAATTTCTGTCAGTAAATGGGACAGGGAACTAAAACCAAGGTGGATAACATTCAAATTGAACTGGATAAGCAGTAACTACAAACTGAATGCAGTAAGCATCACATACACACCACACTCAGCTGAGAGCTTGTCCGTGTGGCTAAGAGTTTCCTGCTCTGCTTTGTTATGGCCATGCTTACAGTTGATGCACAGGGTGACCCAGAAAGGAATGAGGAAAGGTTAGCTGTCATTGCAGACCACCTGGGGTTCAGCTGGGCAGGTTGGTAGTATTGTCATTAAGTAGCACCTATTACAGTTTGATTGTACTTATCGATATATGTTAATATGCATTAAGTCTAATCCATCCTTTCACTCATTATCTGATCTGCATATCCACTGGCTACAGTATAGACATGATAAGCTGAAATAATTAAAGAATAAGTATAAAAAATACAAATGTAATGAATAATTTAAATCTGTAGAGAACATGTGTTGAAAATGCCAAATAAGGTATAATGATAAGGCATGGAGTTCATTCTAATGGAATTATGCCTGACACATAAAAGCTGATGTTTTCGTGAAAACACTGTTGCATCTAGAGCTAGCACGGGAGCTGGAGTTTGATGAAGATCGGATCCAGCAGATTAGGGTGGAAAATCCCAATTCCTTGCAGGAGCAGAGCCATGCCCTGCTGAAGCACTGGGTGGAAAGGGAAGGCGAGAATGCTACAGGTGTGTTGTTGGGACTGGCCCCTTTGCACAGTAGAGTAACAAACCTTAATGACAGTGAGCTCCTTTTTTGCAGACAGCAGGTGTAGAAATGAGAAGTTCCGGTGAGCTCTAACCCTGTTCTCTCTGACTCTAATTTACAGAAAGTAATCTGAATAGGAAGTTGACAAAAATTAACCGCATGGACATTGTGCATCTCATTGAAACCAATGTTTTCAAGTGCAACCAGACATCAAGGACCTATGCAGAGATTGAAAAGACACTTGATCAGAGTGAAGGTACGTGCACAAAAGCAGCCATTACATTTCTATGACTGGTAACTACTGCAAATTTCTCCTTATGGAGGTGATCCTTACTGCTGAACAGAGTATTTGCAAAGTCTTCACCTAATATACAAATGTAGGGCATCAACCAAAAATAAAGACAAATAACATTAGGTTTTCAGCTATTTTTTATAAATATTGCCACTCCAAACATGTACTCTTATATTTGAAAATGACTTTAAAATAGAGATTATAAAGACACTTAAAAAAAGTTATTCCTTATGATTATCTATCAAGGAACAAAAATTGCAAAGTGTTAAAAGATGTATGTGTGTTTGGCTTAGACTTGGACAGTCCCAGACTGATACGAAGGACTGAAACCACGCCCAAACCCCCCCCTTCCGTCTCAGAAGAAGATCTGTCAGTCTCCTCTCTGCTGGACACACACTGTACAGAAGCTCTGAGACACTCCCAGCGACAAACCCATCAACAGGATCAGCAGATGACAAGGTATGTCAGTCTAACCTGCCCATCAGCAATACAGGCAGTGTTTAGCTTATCAATTAATTATTAAGTCCATTATTCACATTCAATATTAAAAAAAATGTGGAAAATAAAACATTATATTAAAGCCCATGGACACAGAGTGAAGAAGTTAATTATACCCAGAGTTGGGTAATTCAGGTCCAGAGAGTAATTTCAACTGGTTAGTTGAATCAAAATCTTGGTCTGGACTATTACTCTCTGGAACTGAATTACTAAACTCTGATTATACCTGGTTTGAGCATCCAGAATCAGGAATACATACTGTCCATTGCTACCATTACCATTGAGCCGTAGCAATTAACTGAATAGCTTATTTCTGTAGTAGGTGAAGGTTTTTGACAACAATTAGAATGTCGGCAGCATTTGTTTCAGGGTTATGGGTGTAATGGGTGGAGTTCCACTGACATTTGAAGAAAATGGGACTTTGGAAAGTGGAGGCAGAAGCACCCCAGAGCAGGTAAGTCCTCAGTACTCAGCAGTAGGGTTGCGGAGGGTGGCAGCGATTTAATGTGAAGGCTTAAGACTCCAGGTGTGTGGCTGGCCGTCTTGTGTTAAATACTCACAAATGTTGCTGGATTGTATTTTGTGTCATTCTCATTATGTTCATTCCATGTCCATCATTTTTTATTCAGATTTCATCAGAGTTGTTCATGGAAAAGACACTTATTTCCAGTGAATCAAAGGACTCTCTTAACAGGCTGGGTGAAGACTCTGATTTTGCTAAAACACCAGCACAGGTTTGTCAGGGTTCACCAGGCGTAAGCAAAACAACCGAGAGGCAGTTTGTCTTATCGGGAAGTAGGCTGACCTCATTTGATCTTAATGAAGAACCTGAAATGAATGATAATGCTTCAGAGTATGAGCCTGTAGATCAGAGTCTAATGTCTTCTGTACCTGAGCCCAGTGTGAATCTCATTGGGGGAACTACTCAGATTAACCAAGGTTCATCTGAACTAGCTTCTGAGAATACTGAGGCCTGCCCAGGAGCATGGATAACCTCCCGAGACTTTCAAGAAGAGTCATCACATTTTGAGGAAACCTGCTATGAAAAGAAAATATCCTGTAAATCTCTGTCTGAGGTAGAGCCTGAGTTTCTGGCAGAATCTGTTCTTGAAGATACACTAGTAATGGAAGAAACACCTGATGTGGCATCGTCTGGATTAACTTCTTTTACAAATGGCGCAGAACTGCTGGACTCAGTAGAAACTCAGTCCAGATGTTCCTCACATCACCTGTTTGAAAAAGAAACCACTGTTATCAAATCAGTTTCTGATGATGAATCTAGCCATGTGGTATATGAAACATATCCTACAACCTTTGAGTTTGAACAACCTTGTCCAGTAACAACAGTTGAAAATCAAGTGGTTTTACCAGAATCAAGTGTTCTTGTGTTGAGTGAAATGACATATGACTCTGATGAAAGTGCTGGTATTCCTCCATTACCAAGCCCAAGCAAGGACACAACTTCTGATTCCAGATCAGAACCTTTAACCTGCAGTGAATCTTCCTCTGAACCCATTCAGATAATGCCTGAAGTCCCAAGGGAAATTAATGAGGATGATGACAAGTTACAAAATTCCTCTGTTCAGGTATCACCAGAAATAAACCAAAGCTCACCTGATTTTGAACACATATCATGTAAGACACAAACTGGATTTAGTCCAGAATCGCTGGAATCAAAAGAATCTGAGGAAACTCAGTACAAACCCTCATCACCCCTCCAGGATATTAGAGTATCTGTTGATCTGAGTTCAGTGTCTCTGTTTGCCAGAGAGGATCTTACAGACTCCAGCCAGGTAGCACCTGATATTCAGTCAACCCCTGAGATCAGCCCGGTTTCTCTGGAGATGACTGTTGATGAAAAACCCGACCTACGAGCATCACAGCAATGCCGCCTTGAGCAGAGTGAAGTGTCTTGTAACTTTGTTGACTCAGCAGACATGCTTGTTTCTTCAACACCCATACAAATTGAATGTGACACTACTGAACTGGAGATTATACCTGTTTCAACTGAAGCCATTCCTGTACCTAATCAAATTGTGCAAAAATCACTCAGTGACGCTGAGCTACATGATCCAGACTCTTTAGGATTTGGTGCTGAAGATACTTTAGCTTCATCAAAAATGAACTTAAACCCTCCTGATTTTGAACAGCTGTTGTCTGAAGACGATGACAATTTGCAAAATCCCTTTTTGCAGGTATCACCAAAAATAGATGAGAGCTCACCTGACTTTGAGCAAACATTTTCTGCTTTTGAGACACAAGCATTAAATGTAAAGATGAAAGAACCAAATAAAACACATTCACAGTCAAGCCTTTCACCTGTTATTGACATGAAGCCAGATTTTGATCTGAGTCCTGTGTCACCAGTCTTTACAGAGTCTCCTTCAGAACCTAGTCAGGTTTCACTTAAACTCCTCAGTGACACTGACCAAAATGTGCATGAGTTATCTGGTTCTGTTATGGATGCTCCAGGAACACCTCCAGATTCATCAGACTGTGAAGAAAGGTTACCTGAATGGAATTCTCTGCAAACTCAAATTAATTCAAATACGGATAAACCAAAGGAAATGCATTCTCAGTCCAGTTGTTCGTCACCTCTCTTGCTGGACAGAGAATCTATTGATGTATGTCCCATGTCTCTCTTATCTAAAGAATCTACCTCCCAAAGTAGGCTTGTGACATCAGATGTTCTACAATCAGCCCATAAGCAATTTCCAAGTCCTCCTGGCATAGCACAAAGACGACAATCTGAACCACAAAAATCAAGTGATATTCTTGTAAGCTTGAGAAGTCTGTCATATGATTTGAACCAGTCAACGAGACTGCTGAGCTCTGAATCACATAGCCTGGCAGATGGTGAACTAAACATAAAATCAGATGAACTCTGTAAATCTCTCATTGAACCTAGTCAAGTTCAACATGATGTTCTCATTGATGCTAATGCAGAAGGTCAACAGCCACCTGAATCTTTCATAGACGATAAATCAGTATCACCAAAAACTCACCTAACTTCTACTGATTTTAAATCACCTGGAGTGGAAACAACACCTACTAGATTTAGTCCAGAGCTGACTGAATTTAGGAAAAGTCCCTCTCAATCCAGTCCTCCAATATTTCTTGGAAAGGAACATCCCGCTAACCTGAGTACAGAATCTTCTGTCTTCAGTGAATGTCATGCTGACCAAGGCCAAGTGTATGAAATTCAGTCAACCTTCAATTTCGATAAATCTTCTACAATAGTAGATCAGCCAGCCCTGATGCTAGAATCAGGTGAATCAAGTGAAGTAACTTGTGGTTCTGCTGCAAATAGGTGTGATCCTTCATCACCTCTCCAAGTAGAAAATGTACTTATGGATGTTTCTCCCATTTCACCTTCATCCAGTGAATCACCCTCTGAACCCAGCCAAGTTACATCTAAACTCATGAGAAAAAGTCTTAGTAGTCAAGACTCCCCTGAGCATGTGTCTCAGGATATGTTTGGATTTCAGAAAATTCTTCCAACCTCATCTGAATTAGAAAAGACAGGTAATGTATTTAGTGAAGAACTTGAGGAATACAAAGAAGATGCTGCTTTATTGCCTCTCCTAGGCATTGGAACACCTACTGATCTAAATGCAATGTCTCCTGTTCTTAATGAATCTCTGTCTGAAGCCAGTCAGTGGGCGTATGACCTCTGTAGAGAAGAAAACCAGGATAGCGAGACAAACCTCGAATCTGTTAACAAGAATATCCCTAAATCACCCAAATGTCTTAAAGAAAAATACGCTGCATCAGAGGTAACACATACTGTATTTACTTCAGAATCCAGTTCTTCCTCATCTTTGGCAGATTTGACACTGTCTCCCAGTGTCAAACCTGATTATGACACTCTTCAGGATTTCACATATTCAGCTGAATCAACTGAACAGGTCGCAGCAGAAGAATTCGAAGGAGAAGTTAATCTTAATGATGATGAATACAGAGAACAAGCTGCACATACTCTGGGAGAATCATACTCATTCCAACTGGGGGGTTCTACAGCCTGCAGCCTCACAAGCCAGGTAACAAAATGCAAAGCACCTGAGGTCCACAAAGCTGTTCATAGTCTTTCAGCCAGTGCAGATTTCTCTCGTGCTTCTGAAGACTCAGATCCTGAATACACGCAGTGGTTTTCAGGGCACTGTGAAGCACAAACCAATGGATTGAAACCAGCAAGGGCCCACTCAGTGGGTGATGGTAGAGGCTGCTCATTCAGTCCCAGTAGCCAAGATTACCTGCACACTGAGCAGACCCAGATCTCCAGTACAGATGCTGCCATGCTCACAGAGGGCACAGGAAAGGCCCACTCCTCAAGCAGTGACGATTACTGGGATGCCCACGGGCCAGACGAGGTTGGGCTCCCTGTGCTGGAGGAAGTCCCGCCCCCCAGAGACAGTGGAGCATGTCAGCCGGGTATAGACCCGCCCAATCAGCTCTCTGCAGGAGAGCAGGATGTGTGTGAGGATGATGACGATTCGTTAGCGAGGGTAAGAGTCTGAGCATGACCCTTTGCTCCCCCACCCAGCTTCTGCCCTCTCCTGCATTCAACCCAATGTGCTAATGCTCAGCTGCTCAATGTTCTACAAAAACACAAAGACTAAACCTTAACTGTGCCTATGATTTATGTATTGCAACCAAGCCCTGCAACTAACAAATAAAATCATAGCCCATCTAGCTATATTCCCTATGTGAAGGATGTGTTAGTAAGCCTATATTCATAGAATGTTTTAAGCTGCATGTGTTTGTACTCCTCCTTTAGAAATACTGACAGCATTAGTGGAGGTTGAAAAAAGGTTACTAAAGTGCCCCCTAGGGGGGTAAAAATGCTGGCATTAGTTGCCCTTCACATGGAAAAAAATGATTTGGTGCCATCTGGGGTGCCCCCTTAATGTGAAATAGTATGATGATGCCCTATAGAGCAAGAGAATGTGATGAAGTGTCTTAATGAGTGCCCTTATTGTGGAGAGAATGTGATGCAGTGCCCTATAAGGTGCCCATACAATGATCTAAGCGGTCCCTTTAAGTACCCTTCCAGTGGAAAAGGGTGCTGCTATGAAGTGCCCTTCTAGTGGAGAGAATGTGATGCAGTGTCTTAATGAGTGCCCTTCTAGTGGAGAGAATGTGATGCAGTGTCTTAATGAGTGCCCTTCTAGTGGAGAGAATGTGATGCAGTGTCTTAATGAGTGCCCTTCTAGTGGAGAGAATGTGATGCAGTGCCATATAAGGTGCCCTTACAATGGTCTAAGGGACCCTATGGGTACCCTTCCAGTGGAAAAGGGTGCTGGTAGGAAATACCATCTGTGTCACCCCTACATGAGGGAAGCAAAGCTATAACGGGTACTTCTAGTAGTGAGAAAACATGGTTAAGTGCCCAAATAGCTGCCCTTCCAGTGGATAGAATGTGATGCAGTGCCATATAAGGTGCCCCTTCTATATTTGCCCTGCCCTTCAAACAGCCTGAGTCTGCCACTTACTGACAGTACAGGAAAATGTGCAGGAAGTATGACATAAGTGCAGGGAACCATTCAGAGAGTCAAATTCACATTGTAGTTCTGTTTCAGATCTATTATTTCAACTAATTAAGAAATAAATTTTTAAAAAATCTGTTTCGTGGGGATGGCCCAGTGATATGTTTCATTGGCTAAGTTTATTCTTTGTTCAAAGTTTGTTTGTTCACGGTTCGCATTTCTGTTTCAAATGAAGCCACCAGTCAGAACAGTTTCCTGGGCACAGGGCTCATTAGCAGATATGAAATCAACTGACTGCTCCATCTGCCCTCAAAGGGCTGCTTTTCAGTTTTTATATCTGCTATTGTCAGGTGCACTAAGATTCCATGGAAATGTTAATTTCTACTGGTTGTGTTGCCTTAACAAAATATCTTCATAGTATTAATTTTCATTTAACTAGATCTCCCCTTCAGTTCTGTACAAAATCACTCTGTAGTTTCAGATGGATGGCTGAGGGGGGGGGAGTGCTTCAGCTCTACCTCAGTCCCATTTGACAGTTAATAAATATCACTCACCTGCATCATTATCTTAATTCCCAAATTGACAAGCACTTATGTTGATTTCATTTGTATTCCATGTCTTGTGTGGATGTGGTGTGTGACTCTGTGGGTTTGGAGAGAAGATCACTGGTTCCAATCCTATGCCAGCAAAGTGATGTCACAGCTGGGACCTCGCCCCCCGTTTTGCATGCTTTAGAGACTGGCAGTTAACACTAATATACATAAACCGTAATATACAAATTAAGGATTTTTTTCCGTTGACCCAAAATAATGGTTGCATTTGGTATGTGGTATTGTAATTGCACAAAATAATATTGTTTATGTTCATTGTTTTGGCGTTAGTGTTCTTTTATTTTTACAGTGTAGTGTATTGCATGTTAATCTGCTCTATGGGTTTCAACAAATGTGCATTTTTATGACTGTCTGATTTCTGTTTCAGGGTTTTGCATGATTTGCGATGCTTGTCCCTGTCTGCATGCTTCCACACACATGTGCCGCAAGCTGAGACACACCTTTGATTGATCTAGGTGGACGTGATGCTGGACATCTCCCCACTGACAGAGACAGAGCAGCAGGCCACGGAGCATTGCAAGACTTCTGTGGTAAGTCAGCCGTTCTGTTACACTGATAAGTAAGATTAATTATATTGATCATTTGAATTTTGACATTTGCAAGCTATTGTCTTAATTGATTTGGGGTGAGTTTCCCGAAGCCTTCTTAACGCTACGTCGTTCGTTAGTTCTATCTTTTAACACAGAACTTAAGAACGACGTAGCGTTAAGAACGCTTCGGGAAACTCACCCTTGCTCTTTTGAATATATACTTGCAATTCAGATGAAACACCCCATACATATTTTTTTACGTAGGTCAGCATCATTACATTTTTTCTACATGGCATGCTGCACGGGGCATTAAAAATATGGTTAAATGTCATTTTCCCAAGTTTGATATGTTTCTGGGAGAACAAGGGAGGGCCTTGCGTTTCACTTCTTTAACCAATCACAGTCTTCATTGTATGACATCACTGCATTAATTAAAACCAGTGTTTTCTGCACAGATTTTTAAAGTACCTGTTTTATTGTGTTTGCCTCTTGTTAAGGGACGTGTCATAGATACAAAACATAGGAATATACTTACCTGCAAAAGCTGTAAGGAGCAATGTAAGGGTGGATATTCATGATGATGATAATATTAATGACAATAACAACAAAAATAATAAGGCCTGAACCAGCAACCTTCCGATCACCAGCACAGAGGCTTAGCTGGCTGAGCCACACGCTGCTCCCGGCCTGATGCCTTGATGGCTGGAAGCCTTCAGTTTGAAAAATGACAAAGAACGGCCCAATGTGGTGATGTCATACAATGAAAACTGTGATTGGTTAAAAAAGTGAAAGGCAAGCCCCTCCCATGCTTACCCAGGGACACGTTGAACTCGGTAAAATCAGGATGTCCTTTATCTTGCATAGGTAAGCAGGAAGATTATTCAAAAAGGACTGTCAGCTGATGGAGTGGAGTGGGAAGAGGAGGTGAAGAATGGGCAGGGTCTGAAGCCAGCCTGCATCAAGGATGGAGCCCAGTGCTCCACAAGGCGGAAGAGGGCTCTTAGGAGTGAAGGGGACCAGGCAGAGGTGCAGCATTCTCTCAGCGTCTCTGTAACATTCACAGAGGTGGATCGGAGTACAGTGAATGTCATTCTCTACAGTGACCTGTCCTTCTGATTTTCAGGTGACCTTCTGTGAGCCACTGTCTTTGTCCACTGAAGTAACTATGGAGGCTGAACCTGAGCAAGAGCACAGTGTCAGCAAGGTGAGCAGCACCTAAACACATACGGGTTGCAAGGTGAGCAGCATCTGAACACACAGTGTCAGCAAGGTGTGCAGCACCCAAACACACAGGGGCTGTAAAGTGAGCAGCACCTGCACACACAGGGGCAGTAAGGTGAGGATCATCGGAACACACAGTGTGAGCAAGATGAGCAGCACCTGAACACACAGTGTGAGCAAGATGAGCAGCACCTGAACACACAGTGTGAGCAAGCTGAGCAGCACCTGAACACACAGTGTAAGCAAGATGAGCAGCACCTGAACACACAGTGTCGGCAGGGTTAGCAGCTCCTGAACACACAGTGTGGGCAGGGTTAGCAGCACCTCAGACATACTGTAGTTTCAGTTTTTTGGTCATGTCTGTATTTTTATTCAAAAGAAGAACATTGCAATTTCACAAGATCTCATTGAGATACTGAAGTAGGGGTTGCCCTCAATATGTCCATTTAAACTTACAAAATGGTAATTTACCAGCTTTCATTTGAACTCCTTTTAAAAAGTAAAGAGTAAGTAGAGACATACCCTTTCAGTTTTTCTGCGAGTGAGAATTTCATTTAAATAATTTTTCTTAAACAGTCTCCTCTAGCTTTCCATCCTTTTACAGGTATTGGTAAAAAAAAAGTTCACATTGAATTATCCTTTAGTGTAACTACAGTCTTCATAATATGCTTTTTAAAAAGAATTGTCCATTGTGTTCAACTGAAACACACAATATATTATATGTTACATTAATTTAGCAGAGCCTTTTATCCAAAGCAATGCACGAGTGAGAAGGCAGGGTTAATTGCAGACTCACATGTGCATCCATTCAAACTCTTCACTCTTGACTTTTCCGACCATGAGAGCTTGTGGCTTTGCAGAAGGGCCGCTTCCCAGGGGATTGCCTTTGATGCTGTAGGGTTTCCCCGGGTCTGTGCGTGGGTCGTGATTATTTTACGCAGGCCCAGGTGGTCTTAACCCTGCCTAATTCCCTTGCCACACGCAGGACACTGATGAGTAAGACGAGCGCGCACTCGGAGCGGGAGTCAAGCAGCTCCCAAGGGAGACAGGTCTACCTGGAAAAGCTGGAGACGTCCCAGTGACCAGACCATCTCCAACAGCATGTGTAGTGTCTGCTCCTCTGTTATATACATTTATTAGCCCCCCAAGAGTATTATTAACAGGCACCCACCCAACACTGGACCTCTCTATCTTATTATGAACCAGATCCACCTCTCCCCTCAATATCTTGCACACTTACTCCCACTATTTCAAACTGACCTGCCAATGTTTTCCTCTGAAAATTGTTGACCATTGTCTGTCTGATATTCTGTCTCTGTTTTATCCATTTTGACCAAAGATCGCTTTCTTTTGTGGTTTGTTTAAGGGGTATTTTGCTGCTGTAGAAATGTAGACTTCTCTGGGGGAATTCTAACATTGACCCAAGACACACTTGCAAACACTTGAGCTTTGATGCCAATAAGGAAAACAATCTCTTCAAAAGTGAAGGGTCAGGTCTTGCTTGACTGTGTGTTCTGTGTGTAGTCTTTGAGTTGCGAGAAACTGCAGTTAAACTATCTGCATATCGTCAAAGGATTTCCACTGGACCTTAACCGTCCTGGGCTGTGCGTCCATCTGTGTTTCGTGTGCAGGGCAGTGATCATCCCTGCAGTGTCTGGCTGTGTGTCACCCTCTTCACTGTCTGATTCTGACAAGATTGTAAGAATATATTTATGAAATCTTTACAATGCTTACAATGTTTGTATTGCATGAATTCAGGCTTTATCTCATTCAATCCCTATGCAAAGAGAGCAGCCAAATGTAAAAGCTGACGTTAGAGAAGGTTTAGCTAGTCATACTTACAATGAAGTAAACCATTTGAAGGCTTCTACATGTAGGACTAAAGTCTAGTGAGTAATGGTGTACCTGCTGGCATTGTGTAAATGCATTTTAGACATGAATGCGAGGTTAGCATAAGCCACCTGTTTCAACCATACATGTAAAATGGTGTAAATGACACTTATTTACCATACTCTCTGAATCTGTGAATGTGTGTGTGTGTGTGTGTGTGTGTGTGTGGGGGGGGGTGGTGGTATTTGCAGTGCAGGCTATATCTACTGCTTTTACACTTCACTGTTTATGCTGTGTGTAGTCAAAAAAGACAAAACAGTACTCACTGTGACGGTTTACTATTCTATATAATTACTGATGTGTTCCCATGGTGATACCAGTTACGGAAAAGTGTAATTATAGATTATATATCTTTGAAGGCATGTATCAGATATTAAATTCATTTTGAAGAACAATATCTAAACACTAGCTAACTAAATAAAATCTACAAATGTGCTTGACTCATGTCCTGTGTATTCTTGCTCCACTCAATGTGCCAGGCCTATTTGCTTTTATGACACTAGAAAATGCCTTTGTTACCACAAGGATTTTGAATACTATTTTTCTACAGCGCTAAGCTTGCTTGGATCGTCCAGCTTAAGTTCTCTGATGTACCAATGGTAGATTCCTTGTATTATGTCAAGGGAAACAAGAGCAGCCTCTTTAACATGTTTTGCCGACTGCAGAAACAACAGGTTATTAACTTCTAAATATTAGGTGTCCTGCACAGCTCCATAAGTCTCCAGCAAATTCATTCAGCAGAAAAATCACACAGTTGTCACTAGTGGGTTTAGAGATATAAATGAGATGAGAAACCATTCAGCTGCAGCAATGAGAAGAGTATATACACCAGTGGTCAAAATCGGGGATTTGGAAATACGCTTTAAAAATTTGAATTTTGGCGGTAATGTTTATAAACAAAGAATGTTACGAATATCATTAAATATGGTTACTAATGAGCAATACAAAATTCCTAATTCACCCAATTCTCTAAAAAGCGTTTCCACAATTTTGGCCACTAGTGTGGCTGTAATTACGCATAACGTCAAGATTTTTACTGAGGAGCACGACTGATTTAAGGTGTCTGGCTGTAACTAGTGTCAGAGGAATTTTCATTTAAACAAAAATATGAAGGAAATATGATGGCTTTCGTCATGTCAAACTTTAATCCATGTTTAACTGCATGTCTCCTCCTCCATTGACTAGCACTTGTTAAATAAAGTGGGTGAAACCATGCAAAAACATGAATGTAAGCAATACTGCAACTGAAACCTTCCGGAACACCTCAATGTCACTGGAGCACGTGCACAGCATCTACTTGCTTATGCGCGCAGACAGGAACGGAGAAAAGAAAAAGTCAAAGGCAAACTTCATGGCTTGCATGGCTGTTCCCTGCCAGTCAGGCTCGATTTTGTACTGCTTTCCGGTAGGGACCAGCTGTGACTGGCAGTCCAGACAGTGAATGGATCGCATCTCAAATACGGGCAACTTGCTGCCCAGTCGGCCCTCGAGCACAGTGCTGAACTCCACCCTGCTCCCCAGAGCCATGTTAAGCAGTGCTGGCTTGAACTCGTGACTGGCCCGGAGAAGGATGTCCTCACTGGGGTCATCCCTCTGGGCTGCCCTATGGTGCTCCTCTGGCAAAGCTATCGTGACTTCAAACTTGTAACTGTCAAAGCGCTTGACGTGGCATTCGTGCTTGGCCAGGGCCTTCAGGTGGCACAGTTCCTGCATCTCTGGCAGCTGTGCTCCCACGGCCGTGCCGTTCTGTCCGTCGCACCTGGGGTAGGGCTCTCCATACAGGCAACGCATCCAGTTACCGACAAAGACGGGCAGAAGGTTGATGACTGACTGGGCGCCGTTCTCCGTTTCTGCCACGCGCACGTGCCGGACCTGGCCAGTCCAGGTGACCCGATGCCCTTCCAGATGACTGCAAAGGATTTGTATGCGAGCAGCGCCGGTCTCCTGCCAAGCGCGTGGTCCGCACATGGCGCTGTACTGCTGCCACGTCAGCGTAGAGTTGTACACATTCATGCCCTTTGCACTGTACACGTATGCACAGGTAAAGAGTATAACCGCTGAGATCCACACTAGAATGAGCTTGACCATGCTTCTGTGTGACACTGAGCAGGCCACGTCCCGCAGGGAGAGACTGAAACGCGTCCAGAGCCGCAGAGTGACCGGTATCGCACACACGGCCATTGTTACCAACATCTTGGTCAGCTCTAGCTCCAGGAACCACTTGATCGCCTGAACCACAAGCATAGCAACCAGGCCCAGGGTAAGTGCAGGCAAAGCAAAGAGAAACAGGAAGTAGGCCACACAGGTGCGTATGAGGCCTACAGCTGTGGAGCTCTGCAGGAGCACCACAGAGAACTCACACCACATAAAGCAAACCATGTAGGGCACCAGGAAGCAGTAAGTTCCTCGGAATCCCCTCAGCTGAGCCATCCGAAAAAACAAGTAAAAAAGGTACATATAGAGGAGACAGGGTATGCTGAGCTTCAGGACCACAAAGTCACTGAGCGGCACCGTCACAAAGGTCCTCCCCAGGAGCCGGAGAGCGCCCATGCGCTCTGGAAGCAGCGTGGTCATAGCACACAAGGAGGATGCCACTTCAATGACCAGAGCCCGGCGCGTGTACAGCTCTGCCGATGGGCCGAGACTGAAATAGCTGGCTCCCATGAAGAAGATGGCCACCGTGGCCAACTCAGAGCATGGGATCCAGGCTTTGTCAGCTACAGGGAAAGAGAAGATTACAAAAAAGACAGAGAGGATGAAATAGAGGTAGGGCTCCATGTTATTCCAACCAAAGTTGGTTTCGGCCTGCTCCACGTCCAGGCCAGGCTCGAAGCGTGTCAGTAAGGCAGTAAGTGTGCGGAAGTTCTCCCAGGCCTTGCTGTTTTGAAAAACTCGCAGAGTGCAGATCACCATAGAGATGAAGGACAGGTAGAAGATGAGCAGCGGGATGACGAAGGCAAAGAAATCGATGGTGAGGTTGCTGAGGATGAAGAAGAAGATGAGGGCATTGACGTGTTGTGTGGGGATGATGGTGCTGAGCCACTGGACCCCCGCACGTGATCCCCAGTCCACTAGGTGGTCTTTCATCTCAACCAGGTAGTGCAGCGGGAATTTCAGGATCTGTACCAGAAGATAGAGAGAGAAACAGACAGGAGATAGTAGGTGATTTACAGAGTGAAGCACATGGCTGCCCCAGCACTGGAAGGATAAGAGTAGTGCATTGGATTACCATAAAGTGAGCCTGTACGTCCATCGCCCTGGATGTAGCGGTGGTGGTGCTGGGCTGGCCCAGTCCCCATCTGACCCCCAACATCTGCCTGCAGGTGGATTTGGGTGATGCCACTGCAGCTCGGCCTCTGGGTTCGTCCTTTTGAAACCCACTCTGTTAGGACTATGCTGCAGGGCATAGAAGCACTGCATATACTACGCTTCGGACAGCCACGTGGTTTGAAGTTCTTTATGCGGCTTCCACTACTGCTCAAGCAGCTAATGCTGGTTGGTCCCAAAGGTCAGACAATTCGGCCAAATTGATGCTGTATAAAGCGGCTTCCTTGAAATGGCAACATTAGGCACCTATGATAGGAAAATTGGAGGGGGGATTTCCTGTTTACACTCAGCTCTTGGGACCTTTCCAAAACTGGGATGATCTGAATGTACACGAGCCTGGTTCTGAGAGGAACCAGGCTAAACACTGCGGGCTGGAAAGAACCCAAGTGACATGGGCTCATGAATCATTGAAAAGGTTCTGACCCTGATTGAAAAGGTGGACTGAGACCTTCCTGAGTATAGCTTCAGGCAAAGGCACTGTCAATCCCTCTGCCCTTCAGTCTAGGTCCTAGGACCTAGATATCAACAGTGGCATCTCTGGCCCAGAACACCTAGTGGGGCACAATAAACACTAACATGCAAAGTACTTGTTCAGTGAATCCTAATACAAATGCACCTCACCAATTAAATCGCAAGCCCACATTAACGTAACAGGCAGGAGTAAGTAAAAGCAGAGTCGGAGATATGAGTGGCATTATCAATAACAGCATTTGAGCTCACAGAACTGGTATACTACCCTGTTATACCACATCGAATTACAAATCCAGACTTATTAAGCAGTAAATGATCACTGTTATAACACATCCAAAGTAACATTTCAGAGCAAGCAAATCCATTGCTATACGGTCCTTAACTTACAGTCAAAACAACCGTGCAATAATGCAAAACAAACGCACATAGCAACTGATCCAGGGCCAGATTCGCCTGCATCTCCTTAAATCTGGGTGCCAGTGACATTCGGTCAGGAGAGTCTTCTAAATGATTAAATTTGGTCTGTACACACTCTGAAGATCTGGCACGCATTCGCCTGACCATATACGTGTGATCAGTCACTGATGTGCTAAGAATCTGAGGGGCAGATGTTGAAGCAGAACTGATCAGCACTCAGTCTGGAAAAGCTGAGTTTGAGCCACATTTAACAAACAAGCTTTACTTGCACAATTACAGGTACATTGGAATGCTTCTCCTCACAGTACAGGGCCAGCTCTCCCGCAGCTGGAGCTTGAACTGATAACCTTCTGATCACAGGCACATAGACTTAGCCCACCGAGCCACAATCTACCCCCATTTAGAATCCAGATCAGAATTTAACTTTTGACTCTTGTGGAAATATGGGCCAGCTTTAGTAACATTCAATGCAAATCTGGCCCAGATATGGCCCTTATCCGTTTCAAATCCAGAAAGCAGATGCGGGTCCGTTATGCAAAAAGACACTGGGCCAGATTCGCTTTACAGATCTGTGGCAATTTCTGAACAACACTCGTCTTGGATCTGAGTCAGACTCATCTTGCTATGTGGGCAGTGATATCATTCTATTACCCTGCTAGTGGTGGCTAACATAACAGCTAGCAGTTGTTTGAAAACACCAATGACATCGTCTTGATGTACAATACTAGTCAAAAGTTTTCGCACACACTATTTTCTACATTTGCATATTACTCACTTAACATTTACTAAAAATTATACTCAATATTCTTTGCATACAAATACATTTATAGTATGTTCACCATTTGAGTACCTTCATTAGCAAGAAAATGTTATATTTTTGATTAATCAAAGTAACTTCCTCTAGCAGTTATAACAGCAGAGAAAATTTGAGTCATTCTTTCTCCAAGGGACATTAAATACTGCTCTGTTTCATGGGATAAAATGGTTAACTAGTGCATTTAAAGTTAAAGGACGGCCTAGAATTTGACTGTGCCATCACCACGTAACCAGTTAATAGGATGTCAGACATGCACTGTTACATACTCTTTCCATGTTATAAAGAAAACTTGTTTTATTTGACTTATATTTTCATTTACAGTTGTTCACTCAACCTTCCAATGCTTAACAAGAATAAAAAATCTGCATTTTATGAAATAAATGGAAAAGTGGTAAAAACCTGTGGTGT